TCCCCAGCCCGGGGGTCCGCCAGTGGCTTGCAGGGCTGTGAGGCACTGAGCGCTGCCCTGGCCTCTCCCAACCGCATGGACATAGCAAGTGCCAAAGAGGTTTCTCCGAGCGACGGGCAGGATTTGGAGCCTGAAGACGAGAAGTCCGAGGAATCCCAGGAAAGGCCAGAGAGTCCCAAAGAGTTCCTTGATTTGGACAACCACAACGCGGCCACCAAGAGGCAAAGCTCGGTGGCAGCAGGGGAGTTCCTCTATGGAGCCCCCCCGCCACACCTGGGTGCAGGGATGGGATTCAGCCCATCGTCTTTCCCTCCCCATGGGGTGATGCTACAGACTGGCTCTCCTTATGCATCCCGGCATCCTGTCGGTCACTTCCAGCCCAGGACGTATGGATCACCCATGAATGCTCACCTGTCTCATCATCCAGCCTCCAGCCAGGCCAATGGCCTCTCTCAGGAGGGACCCCTGTACCGCTGCCGGGAGGAGAATGTAGGTCACTTTCAGGCCTTGCTGATGGAGCAGAGAGGCAGTGGAGGTGGCATGGGGGGGCCACCCCAGGACTTGTATAGACCCTCGGGGTAAGATCGTGTTTTCTGCAAGAAGGCAAGGTGGGAGGGGGGGGTGATCCCTGGGTGACAAGAAGTATTGGGTAACCTTGAAAGGGCATGGCTTGAAGTCAGAGGAGATGGCAAATGCTGTTGAGAGACTAACAGGTGACTCTTGGACCCTTGGAGTGAAAGGTCTCTTAAGCTGGAGAAAGAGTCTTGTTGCAGTTCCTTAGAAACAAGTAGCAATTGCTGTCACGGAGACCTGTTAGCCTGTCTCATCCATCCCCACACCAGTGCTTTGTTTTATGTGACAGTGTTTTATTAATGTGTTGTGTTGCCATTTTCTTTGCAAGAATTTTACTGCATTTTTCTCATAGTGGGGCAGAGTAGCTTACTGAAGTGGAAGTTAGCCTGTTGTGAACTCCTGTACTTTAATGTTGCCCCCTTTTTGCCCTGCTCTTGCTTTGCCCTTCTTCTCTGTCTCAAACTTCCCTCACAGAAAATTACTTCTCACTGAGACTGTGCATATCACATTTTTATTCTCGAGTGGAAAATTTTGCTACTCCAAAAATTCCCTGTTCAGATTTTATAAATGTGCTTTGACTGTTACTGTATTGTCTTAGTCCTAGCGCGATAGTCCTTCTTCTGGCATTCAGGGAGCCTGGCTTACAACTAAGCCTTGGAGGCGTGGCATGGATTAAAGTGTTTTGGGGGAAGCCAGAAAGAAGAACACATGAGATACATGATTGCATGTGGATGTTGTATATAGGCATTGAATCAAGTAGATGGGATTTGCTCTTGGTGTTCACCTGCTAAAACTCTCTCCATTCAACCTGGCTCCAGAATGCAAATACATCAGGCTCAAGTTCCCTTCCTGAAGATGCCTGCAGCAGCCATGTCCCGGGAAGATCTGACGTCACAAAAACCACCAGTGTTGCCTCTGGATCAAGTAAGGGCTGCTAGAGAGAGCAGAGTTGAAATGCTAGAGAGGGCAGAGTTGAAATTCTCTTCCTACTGGCTAAAGGCGTACAGTGTTTGAGGAGAGTGGGAAATACTGGAAGAAGCTGAGAAGTGAACAGCTCTGAAAAGGAGCTGGGGATGTCTCTGTAGCCTTAGCTGACTGTAAAACATAACTTGGGTGGACCAAAGTGCTAGCTTTCAACTGGTTGCCTGCAATAGTGAGATTGTTCCTTTCTAAAGCTGTCGGTTAAAACCTCAACTCTTGCTTTTCTTCTTCCAGAGCTAGTCCAAGGAAGGAAGGACCTCACGAAGATGAAAGCCACACGTGATTTTGACAAGTGGGAGAAGGGGCAGGCCTTCCTCCCACCCTCCCCTCGCCCAAGCAGCGTGTAGCTTCCTGGGTCCGTGGAACATGGTGCCGCCACGTCTTTTGTGTTGGTAACCTGGAGCAGTGCTGGGCCCCAACCAGCTGAGCAGCTGGCTTGCCACCACAGGGCAAGCTTCACAAATTAGTGGCTTTCCATGACTGGAGACTGCGTCTTGTTCAGGGTTTGAGGGATTTTTTGGGTGAGGAGGGTAGGGGTGGGGGTGGAAATTTTCATTGACTGCTAAACTCAGGTATATTTTTCAGGGTGGAAGAGGATAATGGTGGAATTTTACTTGTAGTATTAATGTGTGTGTTTGGAGCTGGATCCAGTTTACAGAATTTAACTCGTTGCCTTTTTAAATAAATTTCTGTTGTTGGTGAATGTATTGTACATGGGGGGTGGGGGGGAAGCTAGTAGTGGGCTTAGCACTGGAGGGAACCTTAACTGTTTACAATCATATCACGCTGAAATCTTTCAGGATAAGGGTGAAGGTTTGAGGGGAGCAGGGAGAGGTGAGGCAACATGTGATGGATGATTTGCTGTCCTCCTTCCTGTCCTCTGTAACCAAGATGCAACCTGAGGGTTGGTTGACTGAATAGCAGGAATTGCTCAGGAGCAGAATGTGTCCTCCTCTTTCCCTTGCCTTCTTCCTCCTTCCCTCCTCACCCCCACCTCTGCCCCTCTGGATCCAGGGCCTGACTGTGCTTCCAGCTCCTGTCATCATGGGGGAACAAGGAACAAGGACAAGGAATTGAAACCAGGACAGGACACTCATGGCATTGTCACTTATGCTAGTACAGTACCCTTCTCCCTGCCTTTCCTATAGGAGAACCGTATGCTCTGGAAGACAGACAGTGGCATAACTGTGGTCATCTTCTTTCAGTGAAACCGGTGCAGCTGGGAGTGGAGCAGCAGCTGTCCAGTAGAACAAATTTTGTGCAAATCTGTACTGCCCTGCTGCCTGAGGAGAGGAGCTGAGTCTCCGCCTTTTTTTCTCTGTCCCTTGGCTACATTCACTTCTTAGTGGCAGCGAAGCTGAAAGTACCCTGGGGTTTCTGACCGCTGTTGATTGCCTGTGAAGGAGGAGCATAAGGCTGCTGTGGGGGAGTGGTTGGTTTGCTGCAGTGGGAGCCATTTGTTGGCCTATGGAGTTGGATTTGGTGTTAGCAAGTTGCAGGTGAATCGGAAAGCACTGATTTGAAATCAAACATTGAAGTGGCTTGGCTACCTTGTGCTGGCAAAGCTGTCTGAACAAATGGCAGGTAGCATCTGACTGAGCCATTACTCCTTCTGTCCTAAGCTTTTGGAAGCACGATAAGCCTGAAAGATGAAAAATATTCTTTCTTGAAACAGTTAGAACAAGGAAAGACTGCCACATTAGTGCCCTCTTCCCAATGAGTCTCACTGCTCTGTTGCTACAGTACTTCTGCCTCTGAGCTGTGTAGGGCCAAGGCATTTTCCAGGCCAAAGAGGAGTTAGACTTCTTCATGCTATTCTCACAAGCATGTTTATAAATGCAGTTATTCTTACTCACTGCTGCAGCTAGCCTGTGAAGTATAGCTGACATCTCCTTAGTCCAGTGAGTTGTCTGGGACAGCTGGCTCCTCCACAAAAGAAGACTTCAGTATAATGTGAATTACTTAAAATATTTATCTGTAGATGCAATTATGTTAGGAAAGGGAGATTTGTTGTTGTTGTTGTTGTTGGGCTGTGGTTTTGTTTGTTTTTTCATTTGTGTTTGTCTGTCAGGGAGCAGTTGTCACTGGTGGATTGCTGTAAACTGGAATGGATGATCCTGAAGGCTGTGCTTTGACTAAGCAGCAGGTAACTGCTCTCCCCAGCCAAGAACATTATTCTGTGTCTCATCCAAATTTGTCCCAGAGCTGAGGGTCTGCTGCTGGCTTGTCAGCTGGCAGTGGGTTTTCAGAGGTGCCCCAGCTGCTTGGAAATGCAGGTGTGGATCCTTCCCTAAACGGAGGTACTGAAGCAGTAGTAGGTATTTATGAAAAACTGTGCTAGTGTAGCTGTTCTTCAAGGCAATAAACCTGGGACAAACGAAAACACGGTTGCTTCTCCTTGTAAAGCAATCTTTAGTTCATTGTAGATATAAAAATAATTTGAAATAGCACATTTAAAAGTAGAGGAACTGTAAAATATAACTTGTAGCAAAGTATTTGAAATTCTGGAAATGTGAATGTGGATTCTGCAAACAACCCCTCCTGTACTTCAGACCGTGTCTTCTGTATCACAGACAGTTACCTGGGTATTTGAAGTGCCTTTCATTCAGCTCACTGTGAAGTTTGTGGAACGGGAGGTTTTTTAGAAGCTATAAAAAAACCCCAACCAAGCCAAAGCACTCTTGGCCTTCAGCTGAAACTGACACTGAAAACATGGTTCATGGCATCTGGATAAGTACCAAGCCCAGATCAAAACAAGGGGCGAATAAGAAAGGCAAGAACTGCTTGTAGTCTGCCTGGAGAGCGTAGTGGAGTGTTACCCAGAGGATCCTATATGGAGTGTGCGACGACGACGTTTTCCCATACCTGACAATGCAAATCTGGGAGAAGGGTTTGACTTGCAGTTGGTAGACAAAACACAGTAGTGAAGATGACTCCCTCTGGGAGGGTTTCTAGGTAAATGGCTTTTGATGTAGTCAGTAATTCTTATTAAAGTGACTAACAAGCTGCTGTTGTAAGGACATGTGGTTTATATTAGAAAAGTACAAATATAGCATAGGGGGAACTATGGCTGGGGTACAGGGATAGGGCTGTCCTGGGGACAGGGCACGCTAAAATAGAGAGCTGCTTGTGGAATCTTAGCTAAGAGTTTCCAGACTTTCGAATGCTTTGTTCATAAGTGTTTGAGTTTTGTTGGGTTTTGTTTGGTTTTGTTTGGTTTTTTTTTTTTTAATGATGACATCTAGGGATGCCCCCAAAATCAGAGCTCTATCTTGCTAGGTACAATCTGAGAAAATCACAGAAAATTGGCACTCCTCAGAGGACACAGAACTGGGAGTGGATTGCTGGGGTGGAACACCAGTGGAAATGCACAGGGAAAAGCAGAAAATGTGAATTTTAAAGTTTATGGTTTCCCAACCCATGCTGCGCAGGGCTGTTTTGTAGTTACTGTGAAAGAGACAGCTTTAAGGAGCGATTTAGAAGAGAGTAAACCAGCAGCTCTTTATCTATGGAGTAGTACTTTTTGCCATGGTTTCGCATATGGTGCAGGAGATACATATCTGCATTTTAATATATCCTGAATTTTCAGTGCCATCCTTGTGTCACTATCTTAAATAATATTTTAAAACAATACAGAGGAATTCTGGACTCTGGTTGGAAGCCCTGTTTCTCATCCCTCAGCATGGTTGTAGTATAGTATATTACAAAGTTGGTCCTTCTTCAGCAAGCATCTTGGGCTAGTGGCTTTGCAAAGTTCCCTGTAGCTTTTACTTTTCCCATATGGAGGATGTGTTTTGCTGTAATTACTGATTTCATGTTAAATGAGACTATATAATATGTAGAACAAATATGATGTTGACCATGCTTAAGCATGCCAAAAATTTACAATATTCTCAGAAGAGCTTTGTATGCTACTCAGGCTTTTCAGCATCTTGCTCTCCCCACTGCCTCACCCTTTGCAAGTGGCGTGTGGTGTTCCCAAGATGTTCAATTGCCATTATAAATGCCATTGTATGAAATTCTCCTGGGACTCTGGAAGCTTCAGGCATCTTAAGCACTACAGACCCTAGCAATTCAACTTAAGTATTTTAAGACGGCCAGTCACTGAGACTTCACAGTGATTTTTTTAGCTGTGTCCATCAGAAGTTTGCAATCTATAAATTCCATGGTGTGACCCACCAAACCACTCAGTAGCAATCCAAGGCACCAGCCTGCAATGAGGAAGACAAAAGAGGAAAGTAAATTTGAAGCTTCAAGGCCCAACTGGTTTGATTTGTGACTTTCAAGAAATGGAAGAGCTTCTGATCCTTTGTCATCTGCAAAATGCCTTTCCCATGCAGGCTTTCAGAAACAAATCTCCTGTGTATATTTTTGTCAGTGTGGTTTCTCAGGGTCTTGGAGAGCTATCAGCTTCTTGATGTCTTACTGGAAAGCTAGTCTGTCTTTCATTCTGCTGACTGAGGCAGTTCTCCTGCAGCTTCTCACCCCAACACTTCTCCAGTTAAAATGGAGGCAGAATTAGGAAACAGCCTTCTTTTTTTCCTCTGCTGGTCTTTGTCAGTCTTCTGTGCAGCTCTGTGTTCAGCGAGGGCTGTCAGTTTCCTCTTGATGGCTTCGTTCTGCTTTCCTTTGGTTGGAGGAGCTGCTGAGCCGAGTGATGGGGGAGCACCATCCTGAGGGGGGGCGTGGAGAAGACAAGAAGGGGAATTGAAGATGGTGTGGTTGCTCCTGGTTCCCCTCGCTGCAGAGCAACCAGGCAACTGGGTCTGTGCTTAATGAGAGCAATGCCTTTACCAGTTTTTACTGCAGTGCATTGGTAGTAGAGGAGTTGCTCCTGCAGAATTCCTGTTTCGCTTGAAGTACAGTGCTGGTTAAGTAGTGTGTGTGCCGTGTCCTTTCTGTAATGCTGAGATTGAGATAGCAGGCTATGCAAGTAGCATTGCAGCTGCAGGCCATGTGATAAGCTTTAAGAGTATGTGCTTACTGCAACCGGGAAAGCACCTCGAACATTGACCTTCCAGCCTTTCCCCATCTGTACCTGTTTAACATACAGATGGAGGTAAAGCACATTCGGGCTTGGCAGGACCCCTGCTGCCCATGTGAAAGAAAATGCTTTTAACCAGCACACAGTGAACTACACATTCTGTTTCTCACTCTCTACTGCCCACCTCCCTCTCTGAAAAAGAGCTGGGGAGGGACCCATTTCCAGCTGTCTCTGAGCAGGAGCTCCTCGGATGACAAGAGCAAGGCATGGTCCACCCCTAGGCAAGGAAATTCAGGACGGGCTTTTATCTAGTAGAAACTAGATAGTAACATACAAGTGTACCTCCAAAGTGTAGGTGTAGTGAGCTGTGTGATGCCGTACCTGTTTTGGTTACTGTCCTGCCTCGCCTCACATGCAGTATTTGAGAGACCGTGGAGAATTTTGTTGTTTTAACACTCCAGACCTTGCATCGACTGAGGTTTTTTGTTTTTTCTTAGTCTGCAGCAGTGACCTAGATTTCTTTTGGCAAAGGTCTTCCTCTTTTTGAAACGTGGATGTCAAAGTGCATCCAGGAGAGACCAAGAGCTACAGCCACCAGTGGAAGCTTGTGCTTCAGCTTTTAGTCTGGAGAGTCCTCAGATCCCCTTGTGTGTTGTGCACCAGCATTTCCCCTGTCCTTGCTTCCT